TCATCTGCAGGCAGAGTTTGTAGGGGAGGAAGACTTTGCAGGAAGTTTAGCACATAGACCATATAAAAGGCTTATGTAGTTTTATTTTTGCAAAATGGATTTCCCTTACCCCCCCCCCAAGGACATGTTACAGAGGGATAAAGTGTCCACATAAAGAATAGTTTTCCAATAGAGATGATTATATATAGCTGTTTCACAGTAATGCCAGAATTAAAATGCTTAAAATGTTAATGTTGCAATGCTTCAAGTACTGAAGAACAGAGTAAGTATTTTTAGCAATACCCTCAATTCATGTAAGTGAATGCTGTGCTAATTTTTCCACCAGTGCCTATGCAGGTCATGCTGGGCCTTTCTAAAACAAATAAGAAATTTAAGCTTGCATTTTTAATGCCTGTTTTGGTGTCGTTCTGCAAGGGGGAGGGTAGATTCAAGATGGTGTTTGATGGACAGGAAGATGCAGTGAAGTTGGTTGTGACATGGAATTACTCTGCTGACATTTCCAAAGGCCTGTAAAGATACCACATCTATGAATACAGGGTCTGAGTTTTTACAATTTTTTTTTGTTGTTCTATACATACCTTCACACTTTATATATTAAGCCTGCAAAAAAGGTTTACCATTTTAAAGCGGCTCAAATAGGCAAAAGCCATATCCTAGTCATTCATCATAAAACAAGCTTAATTATGCTAGGACATATTGACACTGCATCAGATTTTTAATCTTCAACATAATTTTATAACCATTGCTAACAGATGGGCTGATTACACTGAATTTGAGTTTTAAATAATAGTTAGAAATTCTAAAATATGATTAAACTGAAAATACCCATTGCATACATAATTTTCAAAAGCTACTGAAAGAAGGAAAACCAGAGCACAATAAAACCTCTTTTCTGTTTCCCGAAGGAAATACGTTGCATTTAAGTGGACAGTTATCAGAGTTCCTTAAATGGCCAAGCAGTGCATGCTATTGGCAGCTCCTCTTCTGTGCAATTACAACAGATATGCAGAACCTTATTCTTTCTATAGGCCTGCTGCTCTTATTCCAGCATAAAAGGTGTGAATTTTTCTATTTCAGAAGCTATTTTATTGAAACAAGTGCCTTCTCTCTCTCTATTTTTTTTGTCATTGAAAATGAAAGCAAGGAGTAACTTAAATTACCGTGTTTCTGCTCTTTAATAACAATAACACATGAGGAATTTTTATAAAATAGAGGTACAACTTTGTGGGACTAATGGAAGTTGCATGTGAATTCTGAACAGAAGGTGTCTTTTTTTATGTTATTATTTTAAGGTTACTAAAGGGAAGATAAGCCAGACTTCTCTCTGTCTGCCATTGTTCATAATATGCTGGACATCTGTTTCATAGCACAAGGATGATAATGGGTCAGAGGTGACTGGTATCCTGAATTCTGGAATAGGAAAAATATAAAAATGAAATACTGTCTATTGAGATCTCAGTTCTATATATTGCAGAAAGAAAAGGGTATAGTAGTCCTCTTTTATCCTGGAACAGTGCTCTGGCCAATGACATCAGCAAAGAAAATGCTCACAAGGCTCATGCCCACTGTTCTTCAGACAGGTCTCCTGTCAGCAGGAAGACACTGGTCACAAACTATGCACCAGGCTTGGGGGAAAAAAAGCTTACTGAAATTAAATATTTTGTTAAAACTCCACTGACAAACAGCAATCCCATAGTTACAAGTAATTGATTAAGATTTCTGCTAATTTTGGCTGGAGTAGAGTTAATTTTTTTCACAGTGGATGGTATGGGGCTGTGTTTTGGATTTGTGCTGAACACAGGGTTGATAGTATAGAGATGTTTTTGTTACTGTTGAGCAGGGCTTACACAGAGCTAAGGCCTTTTCTGCTTCTCATACTACCATGCTGGTGAGAAGACTGGGAATGTTTGGGAGGCTGGGAGCAGACACAGCTGGGACAGATGACCCCAACTGACCAAAGGGATATTCCATACCATATGACATCATGCTCAGTATATAGAGTAGGGGGAGGAAGAGGGGGACATTTGGAGTGATGGCATTTGTCTTCCCAAGTAACTGTTACATGTGATGGGGCCCTGCTCTCCTGGAGATGGCTGAACACCTGCCTGCCCATGGGAAGGACTGAATTAATTTCTTGTTTTGCTCTGCTTGTGTGCACAGCTTCAGCTTTTCCTATTAAACTGTCTTTTATCTCAACTCATGAGTTTTCTACCTTTCACACTCTTAATTCTCTCCCCAGTCCCACTGGTGGGGGAGTGAGTGACTGACTGCATGGTGCTTGGCTGCTGGCTGGGCTTAAACCATGACAACATTCAAAATGGCTTAATGCCACTAGCTTTTCATTATATGGAAGAGTTTGAATGCTGAAATTTCTCTGAACTAGGTACTCTGGCTACAACTTTATTTTCAGCATCTCTTCTCCATCAGTTGCAGAATTTACAACTGCAGTAAATGTCTGTCTACGACGGATTAGTGGGAGGGGGAGACCTTCAGGCTCTGGGTGCCAGCCCATTACCTGGAAGGTGAATGCTCTTCCCCCCTGCCCCCCCCACGTGGCCTGATAACCCCGTAAGGAGCTCACAGACCACCAGGGAGAGACGGACGAAAGAGGAAGTTTATTGTGGGGTAGGGGTTTATAAGGCTTTTAGGAGGGTCAAAAGGGGACCAATCACAAGTTCAGGGTCACATAGGAAAAAACCAATCAGGTAAAGAGTCAACAACCAATAGGAAGGGGTTAACAAAGGCCAATGAGAAACACCTCAGGACATCTTCCCAGGACACTCCTGTATGGGAGACAAGTCCCTCACAGGGGGTGTCGGGAAAAGGGAGCAGTGACTTTGCAAAAAAGCAAAAGCCATTTTGAAACCTGTTTAAACCACATTAAAAACTTCTGTTTCTATAACATTTGAGCTGTTTTCTTTTTCTTCACTAGTCCATCTCTGGCAGGACTTCTTCCATCCTACATATGGCAAATCCATTGCCACATCTGTCCTTGCAAGCAGTGTTACTTTTAGACAACATACTGTGAGAGACCCTTTCCTTCCAAAAAGTAAAATGCTGCCCTAGTGCTACAAAAATGCAGGCCAAAGGAAGAGCCTATAATAGCAGAAATCAGGCTGCCACTTCATGGTGACACTTCAGGATCAAAATTGTGGCAATATAAAGCTGTCTGGATTGGTGACCTCTTAGTACAGTCAGCCTGCTCACCTGCAGCGTGTGGCTTTGGCACATCAGATCTGACTTTAACTCAGACCAAAGCAGTCTCTAACGCACTGTCTTGCACCCAACAGTGCTTTGCCTTTCAGCCCTTTGCTAATACTGAATGCTTCTGTGAGACAGCAGGTTGATGATCAGCACTGCCTTCTGCAGCAGCATGTGTGGGCAGGTGCTGGCTGGAAAGAAGAGAATGAAGGAAGGAAGGTACGGTTGTTAGGAATCGTGTTGCTCCAAGCCTGTGAGAGGACACAGAAGCCTGAATGAGCTGGGTAAAAGAAGAATTGCAGCAGTGTCCATCTGTCCAAATGTAGTAAGATAGGTAATGTTTGAATATTTTAGCAAACACATCAACAAAGTCTGTAAATCATAGAATGGTTTGTCTTGGAAGGGTCCTTTAAAGGTCATCTAGTCCAACCCCCCTGCAATAAACAGGGGCATCTTCAACTGGATCAGGCTGCTTAGAGTCTCATGCAACCTGACCTTCAATGTTTCCAGGGATGGGGCATCTACTATCTCTCTGGGAAACCTGTTCCAGTGTTTCACTAACCTCATCGTAAAAAAATTTCTTCCTTAAAACCAGTCTGAATCTACTCGCTTTTAGTTTTTTAACCAAACTGTTCATATGTAAAATATTACAGAAAGGTTTAATTTAAATAATGTTCATTGTCTTAAGCAGCTTTTATACAGACAGCATCTAACAAGACATAACATATAATTTCATTTTCAGGTTTTTTTTTTCTATACTGTACTTAAAATCAGGATTTTCTTCTTTCCTCCTAATTGGTTTTGGATTGTTGTTTTGGTGTATACTTGGTAAGTCAGCCTAGTCTAGCACTCTGCAAGCCTTCCTCTCATTAATATTATCAGAACTATCAGTCATATCTGCAAATGTCCATACCAAATAAATAGACCAAACCAGATTGCCCATTTGGCAGTGCTTGATGAATATGATGCAAAATGCAGTATTTCTGCTCACATTAACTTTGTGACAGAGAAGAATGATAATTTCCAAACTGTTTAAATTAGTTTCTCATGCACCAGAAGCTGCTGTGCATTTACATAAAATCCTGTTGCTTTTTCAGAAACTTCCAACCACTAGAGATAGTATTAAATATGTCTTTAACAACCTACTAAACACATCATTAAATGCTTTGTTATAATATCTGCTCCATCCTTTAAAAGTCACAGTTTTTACTTTCAGGAAGTAATACTACAGTAAGGCACTTGTTCTGTAATCTACTGGGTGGTAGGACTCAAATCTCAAAGATATCTCAATCTCTCTTTGGGGGGGGGGGGGGGGGATTTTTTTTTTTTTTTTTAAAGGAAAAAGCATTTTAGCAGCACAGTCCTCCTGAGATGAATAAAGCTCCTCCCAGGTACAGAAGCTTACAAGAAGCTACAATGCAAATTCAGTAAGTCACTTTCATAATGAAAAGAACCTCTATGTTCTGCACTATTAAGTAGCCTAAAGAGGCTTTTAGTTACTGCATTATCTGAAGTACCGATAGCTGATTTAGGCAAGAAGATTATCTAGTTCAACTTGATAAGATTACTGTAACGAAAGAGGAGCGGTTCTGAACAAGATTTTAGGGATTTTTGTGGAGCTATTAGACACAAAAGTAATCTTTCCTTCCCATTAACACTGTAAAGTTAAAATGTGAGTAACTTTAAAAGTAAGAGCCTGTTCACCAGTGTTGCCGTGAAGGGCAGATTTACCACTCTCAAAGTCCAGTAAGTAGTTTCAGAAATACTGATTATCTAGGGAAGTGAAAAATGTGGATACAACAGCCATTAATAAAAGTTCCTTGAGAACTTTAGAGAACAAAAATGTAGAAAAAGTTACAGAGCTAGATCTATCCCGGAAAGATCAATAACACAGCAAAATAGTTGAAAATCCAACTTTTCAGGCAAACAGGAATAATGACTAGCCTATGATCAAATTAGAAGTTTATCCTCTCTTCTTTTTCCCTCACACTTAGTCTAAGTTAAGTGGATAATTAACAGTGTCATGGCTAATGAAAAGATCATAGGATCCCTGGAAATTATGGATTAATTTTAGGAACATAGTATTGAAAAGGGAGAGAATGGGAAATCTGAACCTACCTTTTTTTATATTACCCACAAAGACAACAGAGAAATTTTACACTGGAATCTGAAAGACTTAAATGTTTTAATACAGGTGGAAGGTTAAGACAACTATATACATTCTGTGCAACATAAGCACAAGCTCTCTCTCTTAACAACGCTATACTGGCACAACATCAACATCATCATACTGGCAGAACTCCCAGTGAATACACTGCATTCAACAAGTTCAGTACTAGAGAGCACAGGTTTTTCTTATTCTGCTAAAATAATAAATTAGGAAGTACAAAGTTAAGATTTTCTTATGGACAGACTGAATAAGATTTTTGAAAGTACACTGTTAAGAGGGACAGGTCTCAATGTGAACCGAGTTGTGAAATTAATTCTTTGAAATCCTGTCTTGTATGTTGCAATAGAGGCTCTGTTCATACAGACATTTAAATATGTAATAAATTAGCTGTATCTTTCAGTCGCCATCCATCAGTATATTAAGTTAATCTTCAGATGCATGACAATATTAAATACCACAGAAATTTTTCAAATTAATACATAAATTGGGGGAAAAAACCAACCACAAAATTGATAAATGTATTTCCATTGTAAGATAAAGAACTTGTCTACTGTGTCGTAGAGTATAGTTTTAGGTATTGACAGTGTCACAACATCCAAGAGGAAAGAATTAATCACCAGCACACTACTCATCTGTCTCATTTTCCAGTTTTTGTATCTCATTTTGTCCAGCCTCTGCGAGGTAAGATAAGAGTCTTTTATAGGCTTCTCTGTTGAGAAAAAAACCAACAAAACAAACAAGAAAAATGTAACACATTACTTAAACACATCCTAGGAGTAAAAGCACATAATTCCCAAAATCATTGTTTACATATCAGGATATTAAAACATGGGAGCTACCCCCACCTATTCAACTGTTTTGTTTGCTGTGAATTTTTTACTATGGACAGATTGGAAGAAGGATAAGAATTGCATTGCTCATGACTAGAAGTGTAGTGAAGATGCCTAGAAGTCTACTTGTTTAGTAAACTGCTGTGAAATAGAAATTCTTCATTTTAAAAGGCTTAGATGAGATCAGCATTCAGACTTCATCAGGTATGCTCTCTCATTTCTGCCTAAGAAATTTCTGACTCACACCACAGCCCAGTGATGTGAGCCAATGGCACTAAGGTGCAGGCTGGCACTAACACAGATTTAGACCAACATCCTCAACCAAGGACAACGACTGTTTTAAAATAAACCTGGAATTCAGAAGGGAACTGTCACTCAAGTGGATTTTCCAGAAGAGTGCATATGTGTTGATGAGACTTTTCACCTTAAGTTCATTCTAATACTCTCCAACCTAGACAATATAATTATAGTTAAGGTACTGTCTCTGACACTTAGGTATTTTCTAATTACGTATTCTTGTCATGAAATATCAACTTGAGCAAACAAAACTGAAGTTTTCATACTAGTTCTCTGCAATAACAACACTGGACATCAGCACTATAATGCAACTTCTGAACTTCACTTCTTTTATATATACCTGGGTTTGCACTTCTGTGTCTACAGTAATTGCACAGAATATATTAATACAATGTTATTTAGTGGTCGGGACTAAAGAGAGAAAATCAGGTATTAGTGTTCTTACAATAAAATGCTCATGGATCACCTCAGACTGCTGCATCATGGAGCATATTATAAATACAAATTATTAATACAAAACATCGACAACAAATTAGATAATACACAGTTTTAAGTGATGAGGCTAAAAAAAATGTAATCAGTAATCTCCAAGAATATATTTCAGGAAGCTTAAGCAACCTGCATTCCTTCAGTATTTTACAGATTGTGGGATGAATTTTACCATAATAACAGAATTTAACAACAAAAAAAAATATGAAAAGCAGATAGTATGGAAATCCTGCATATAATGGTACATTCAGCTGACCCTGGCTGAATTCTCTTAAATAAAAGCAGATGTATTTGTTGGTACCGGATAATAAAAAGTGAATAATACAATTACAAATAAGTTAAATATATTTTTCGTTAAATGGAAGATTAAAACCTTGTGACTACCCTTTAGAGTCTCATGGGTTACATCTTGCACAACTCTGTCTTTTGGACTTGTTATAGTCCCGGCTCTGCCAACACACACCTTAAAACTTCCCCAGGGTGAAGTGTCACTAGAATCCTAGCCTTTGACTAGTCCCAGGATGTGCATTAATGCAAACACTGGGGCCAGGTCCCATCCCAGACAACACGGAGAGTTCAAGGGCAGCCTTCCAGTGAGCAGTGCTAATAGGAGAAGCCCTTTTGGCTTGAGTGCCACACTAGGCAGAGCTTCCTGGAGTTTTGTAACAGTATTCGTATAGAGGTGCTGAAAGTTCAGTGCTGCATCTGCACCTAGAGACACCACACTGTGCAAAGCTGCTCCCCTCATGTACCATTTCCACCTAATGCCAGATGGATTCACAAGTCAAATATTTCTGTCCTAAGTTCTTGGGGCAAGTGGAGGAAGTATGAGTCTGCTGTGCCTTTTGGAGCCAGCCTTTTCTGGACACTGACAACTCTTCTATGTTTAGATTATGAGAGAACTCCTGAAATTAAGCTATGGGTATTTCTTTTCCAAGCATCTCAGATCATACTTGAATATACTATAATTTTACATATGACCCATAAAGTCCTCTAAAACAGGGACTGGTAGGAAAATTATTTGGGGCAGGAATTCTTTATTCTATTTTGCAACATACAGTGGAGCGAGCAGAGGCAACGTGGCTTCACATAAATTCTGCTGAGGTGTGCAGACCCTAGTATCAAAACATCTCTGGAAATATTTAGCAAATACAGATGGCTTAAAACCACAAAATGCTTGAGAGTTAAGGCAGATTTCTGGCTGAACATCCTTAAAAAATGACTCATTATCTGTGCTGCTGTCATAAAACTGCTTTTTTTCACAAGAATAAACCTCTACTGCTCATTGTCAAAAACCAAAATTAAATAAAAATCAAACCTCTGTGCAGCATTTCTTCCAAGACCTTGTTTGTACTCCAAATCCTTCAGAGACTGTGTGATTGTGGGAATCAGGCTGGTAACCAACATCTGATCCAAGACTGCCACTGTTTCTAGTATGCTGAAAACCCGGTGATCATAGACAGCGGTATAATCCTGGATAAACTGCCTGAGGGGGACATAGAGGCATTTAATGCAGGGTCAAAACTAGATGCAGAGAACATGCCAAGAACAACTGGAGAGTCTAATCAGAACAAGCAATCTAGCTGCATGACAATTTTCATATTGTTACACTGGAATACACTACTTGGGATACTTTGTTTAAACAAAGCTATGCTTTTGAAGCTTAATGCTAAAAACCCCACACGTTTATCTTTAAGCAAATTGGCAGATTCTGCTGCTGTTACACCAGGGATGACTTGTTCCAAAGCACTGCACTTTGTAGTGTGTCTGAATGCAAAATGAAAACATGTATTTATTATTTAATAAATAATATTTGTAAGGAAAAAAGATGAACAAGAGTTCTAGATTCAAATCTGCAGAAATCACATTGGCATTTCTTGTAAGGCTCCACTGGACCTTCAGCAGGGTAGACTGCAGGATGGAAGCACACTCATTTGCCTTCCTGAGGGTTTGAGGTCTTACAAGATCACAGATTACATTCAAATCAGAAGTAACACCCTAGGGATGACACATCCCATGGAGGTGATGAAATCAGGTACAGACTGGCATGCCCACAAACATCCATTCTTATTTTGGAGAGTCTCTCTGAAGCTTTCATCTAGACCTGACCTAATACAGCAGCAGTGCTTAAGGACTGCAGAATGTCTTCAGGTGTCAAGTCACGCAGCTCTTCTACTGTATCCATGTTAGAAACAGGATTCATTTTGCATAAATATGGAATAAGCATAATTTACATTATCATTGTTGCAAAAGCAAATAAAAAAGCTAAGCTTGCTATATGAAGATTTGATCTCCATTATATGCACTTCAAATTAGGCACCCACATCTTTCACAGCACCTAACGCTGACCATCACCATTTCTAAGGAGTTTTTCCCATTGCAGCAGCAACATACCTCCCTACTATATATCTTTGAAAACAGTACCTCATCCATAAGAAAGTAGGTATGTTTCCCTCTTCCATTTTTTTCCTCTGGCTTTTTGGCCAAGCTGTGTTCAAAACTAGTGCCAAAAGTACCATTACTTAAATACCATAAACAAGCAACAATGCAGTATGTTAAGGATAGTTAGCTATTTAAAAAAAACATGTTTGCTGTCAATCGGCTTGCAGTAGCTTCGCTGCCAATTGGCATATTTTCTGGTTACCTAAATACAGAAGTCAGCTGGGTGGCATGTTCTCCTCCTGACCCTGCTTGGCAGCCTTCTACCACGTTCTGTACAATGTCTGTAGATATTTTTTTAACTGTAAAAGAAAAAATCACAAGATTCACACAGAGCTCTTGAACTGACCATCTGGAGAATGTCTTTCATGAAGACTAAAATTTAAAATGAGAAGAAAAGGTTTCATTTTACTTTGATGTAAGTGAAATTACTGTGAAAGCAGTTAGATTGGCTATAAAGAACAGAATGAGTCACAGATTTATGCAAAAGTCTTATTTTCACCACTATTATCTTTTAAACATGCAGATTTTTAAGTATACAATGGTCTTTTTAAGTAAAAGTAAAGAGATACACACTTATTGGAAATAGAGATTTTATTTAAATGTAAGTTCTGTTTATATTCTTTAATCATTCCTATTTATTTAAAAGAAATGTAGTCATAGCATTATGTCCTGCCCTAAGTTACGTAGATCTAGTACTTTCAATGGTGAATATTGTTCTGAAATCCACCCTAACTTGTTTTTTAAGGGAAACAAACAAACAAACAAGCCTTCATTATTTTATTAATAATTGTTTTTAAATAGATACTCAAGTTGCAAGATACAGCTCTTCCTTTATAAAGGTGGAACTGGGCTGCAAGGACTTTTCTAGAAGGGTGTAGCAGAGGCCCATCCAGGCAGGCAGTGAGCTGGTGGCTACAGCAGCACAACACTTCCAGCACATTCTAATCCCCAGCCCATTGCAAGGTGGGTCCTCTCAGCTTCCAGCAGGTATGGCCATAATGGCAAAAGAGGGAAGAAAGTTGTGTGATGATTCAGCTAATTTCCTAAGCACGTCTTGTCCTTGAAACTGTTATAGGCCAGAATCAAAAAGTACTTTATTAGAGAAAATTCCCAGGAGAAGTCAGAAGTGAATCCCAATTTTGCTTAATGCCTCTACTAGCAGCTTATGCACATTCATTATATAATGATAAGGTGAACAGAGTGCTTCATTTTTTAAGAAGCTAAAAATAAAGAAGTTCTTGCTATGAAACAAAGCATGCTAAAAAAAGAAAGAAGAATCAAAGATGCCTTCGGAGAGCAACATGCTACTTTTAATCCATTTATAATACATCTATGGGGAGAACACACGCCAGTCTTACTTGGTATCAAAGTTTTAGGTGGAAGAAAACTTCCACAGTTGCCAAGTCTAGATGAGAAGGACAGGGAGAAAGGAAATGCTCTTTGAAGAAGAGATTTGAGAAGTTGATTGGTTCATCAGAGAGCAAAACAAGGTAGGACTTCTCTGCCTCAAAGAGAGAAGTCCCAGACCAGGCAGTGAAAAAAAAACCAAAAAAACTTGTCCAGTTTAGCTGGCCAGATGATCTTATTCACCTCATCTGAGAGTCTTAGATACTGGAATGAAAGATGCTCGGCAGTAAAAACATCCTACAGGTGTGGAGAGACGTACTTAAAGCAAACAAACAGCTCACCTTGTAGCTCATTAACCAATACCATGCATTTCAACACAGATGGGAGAACTAATTCAATGTCACACAGTTCAGTGCTCTGGGTTCTCTGAAGTACTTCAAGAATGAAAGCAAGAACGGAGGCCAAGCGAGGAGGTGGAGCATTGCCTTTGAACTGCATGTAGTTTTCACTGAGAAGACAAAGCAAACCAGAACGAAGTCTATAATTCGGTGTTTTTTCCATTCAATGCAAGCACCATATACCTTAAAATAACTGTAATATTTCAGCAGGAGGCCTATTACATAGATTTCTATCTTTATCTGGGCTCAAATAATGGATTCTATTTGTCTTAGTCTTAGCAACGACTCCCAATTTGTCAGAGGACAGTGATGACTTCTGTTGAGAGGGAAGTGAGAAATAAGAGCTATCATAATTACAGTTAAAAAGCCAAAGTGTGACTATAAAAGTTAAAATACAAAGGCAGCATCAGAGTTGAATAAATGAAGGAGTTGAGATTCTAAGATCCTAAACCAACATCCATAATGCAGCTGTTATTCAACTATGTTATTGAGCTTTTGTGCTTTTGTAAATTCACAGTCCAACTTGTGGTAATAGCTCTGCTGTTATACTGGTACTGTTATTTTATTTTTGACAAAAGTATGTTGTAATGGGACACCAATGACTGCTTTTGCTCTGACAGAATTAACATAATCATCTCCAGTATAAAATCTGGCATAAAGATAAAAGGCTGATCTGCAATAGGAGCAAATTTTAACATCACACACAGGGAGTGTTCCAATTCAAACACCTTGATTTGTTGTTTTTCCACAAAAGAATACAAGAATACAAACTACTGTTGGTTTGACATCAATTAATGAAATCTGAAGACAATAAGTTTAAATTGAAACATTCCAGACAGAAGAGTGCAGGTGAAAAGAATTGGTTCATTAGTCAGCAAGAACACTCCAAAAAACTTCAAAAAAAGCTTTTTAGATATTTAATATTAGTTACTGTTATCTACTCAAACAAGGCATGCATGTTTACTGAGCAATGCATCCATTAAAAAACCAGCATCATTATTAAAATTCAGTAAGGGGTGCTCTTACACCTTTCAAATGGAACCTGACTTTCAGAGCTCTGGGTACTTCATTGGACAGCTTCAGAGCACTGAAGTTATGTGTGTGACTAGGCAAATGAAAGCTGTAACAACTTTACTTCTATATTTCTTACATTATGTGGTCTTACTTTAATATTAGCAACTCTAAAATCTTCTATCCCATTAATTACTCTGAAAATTTCCCACATTTTTTTGGGGGTGCCCTTCCACTAAAAGTGGGGTGCTTTATTTTAGCTCTTTTATTGTAGCTCTGACATAATATACTCCTGAAGGTGTGGTTCCATTTCCTCTGTGTGGCAGCAATATATTGACTAGCTTCCATATGGCAAAGTGGCCAGAAAACTGTACCTATTTGTTTACAGACCCAGCAACTGCCTCCCGACCACCCAACAGTTTGCAAATCAGTGTTGCTCACTTCCTCCACATTCTTCCCAGATCCCTAAGGAATGTTTCACATCTTAAAAATCACCAAGTGCCATTACAGCTTTGGAACTTTCTTTCCGCTATCAATCTCAATGTTCACACATGCATGCACACATTCAAAACTAACTTAATTAAGGTGACAAAGTTTGAGTATATGTAAGTTAAAAACATGTCAGAAGTGAGATTGTGAAATCTTAATTCACTCCTCTAATATGTGACAATACAGACTTTACTTACAGGATTGCCTATTATATTTACTCAAGATCAACTCTGAAATTATTTTTTTAATCAATATGTATACACACTCTTTAACAAATAAAAGTCCAATTACCTTGGATATAAGCAATCACCTTGCATTCGATGGAGTTTAATTTCTTTCCCAACATGGACAAAAAGTATGAATTGTTCACTGTTCTGCAGTATACAAAACTAAGCTTCAACCTTTCAGCAGCAGAGACACAGATTTATAGCTGCTGTTGACACTGTGTGAGCAGTGACAGCACAGTGAACAAGTACTGTCTCCCTGTCTCTATGTCTTCCTCTTCCCACAGCCTCAGTTTTCCATTTCCCCCGGGTAGCTGGCACACCTGTGTATACCCTGACACTTACAGAGCAATGAGGCCCCCCCATGCACAGGTAACTGTGGCAGCTATAAAGCACTACACCTCTGTGACCCTAAATACAGTCTGAGACACAAATGTATGATGATGCATATTGGAATGTAATTCTTCTAGAAAATTACTTCCTTTTCATGTGACCTCAGGCAATAGTTTTTCTTATGGCCTAGAACCTTTATCCTTAATTACTGTCTCACAAGTCTTTCCAATTTTACTCTCCTGATGTATACACGCTGTCGTTCCTTTGCTCCCTGCCCAGTAACTCACAGGCTCTTCCTATAGCCACACTATCAGTTAACTGTGAAGAAAACAGAGGCATTCCCTCTCTAATTAGCTATTTCTGAAATCTGAATAAATGATGTTTTTTACTTCACTAGTCCTTACCTTATGACATGCAAAGTGGTCTTCCGTAGACGGAGCATCTGTGGGGCTGTAATGGAACTGCATAAAGCAGTCAGCATAGGATGCTGTCCAGTACCAGGCACAGTTGGAGAAGAAGGGAGAAATCGTCCAAAATAGTGTCGAATAATGCTCCCAAGGAGTTGATTTAAATAGGCACCCTGTGTTTGAGACTGACAGCATATGAAGGACAAGCCCTGTAGAAGAAAATTATAGAAAGTGAGAAATTGAATAAATTTTTTAACAATACTTTTGAATAAATCTTTAGCAACTGTAGGCTAAATACACACTACACGCTGCATAAACTGCTGCACACAGAGTAACTACTGCCTGTTGAATAAGCATCAGTAATTTGTTGCAGATATGACAGTCTGCAAATGAAGACAGAGGCAGGTAAGGCTTGCAAAAGAGAGAAAAATCTTTTACTAGATTAATTAATATATTGGAAGATAAGCTTTGGGACACGCAAGTTCCCTTTCAAATTTAAAATAAAACTTTGGGATTTCAGACCTGAGAACGTTTCTGTGCCCGAAAGCTCCTTATTTCTTTTTCAATCCTGTATGTGGTCTATCGAAGTATATCAGTCAGGTAAGATTTAAGAAGAGAGAGAAAGAATAAATACCTCACTTTTTGTACAGGACAGTGTGAAATTCTTGTATGAATGATATAGCAGAAAAATGAGCACTTAGAATTGAGCTCCAACAACAAGAAATTTGCTCGTAGTCTGAAAAAATTAGGGTAAATTAGGCACCATTTATAAGGGATTTAGAGTGGGTATTAAACTCTGTTTAAGATAAGGCTAAAACTGTTGTTATTCATCCAATATAAGCTATATTGATCCAGAGAAAAATCTATAATGAAAGTACTTGCTCAGAAAGTGCTTATCTGAACACTACCTGTAGTTACACAACATATACATGATCCATCCCTGAAAAAAAGAGTAGTACTCTTACTAGTATGAGTTGCCATAAGAGGAAGTTAAGAACTTGTTTCCTTCCCCCTGATTCCTGAGAGAAAGAAGAACAAATCACTAAGAAAAAAATAAACTCCCCTGATCTTCCATCTCAAGGGTCACAGTCAGCAGCACAAACAGAAGCCTCTTGAGAATAGTTTTGTCCAACAAGAATAATGATGTAAAGCAAGGTCAAGCACAACAGTACTTCAAACTTCTATTAGACTCCAGTTTTGGTAGAAGGAGTATCTGCCTGAATATTTATGGTTGCTAAGGTAAATTAATACCCCCTAATATAGGAATGAACAGTTCAAGTTAAACTGCTTTTGTTCCCAGATACTGACAAAGAGTATTTCTGTAGCTTTTTGAATAGAGTCCCTCCCCAAAAACATTTTCCTCTATACCTGTCTGTGGGAATGTGACAGAACAATTGTTTCAGGAAAATGCAGGCTGAGACACAGCTGAGGGTCTTGAAATGGGGAGTTCCCACTTTTGGTTCCACAGTAAACAAATACAGGAAACATGAGATTTCAAGAAATGAGGCACTTCACTACCTGCCTGAAGACTTGCTGTAGGTGGCTCTCTTGAACGCAGATTTGTTGCATTAAGGATTTAACTTCACACACTTCTAGGGCTCCTTGGTAATTTTAGCAAGTCTCAGTGATAAAAAACCACACTTCCTCAACCGAGGCTTTGACTGAAAGTTCAGATTCTCTCCTCCTTTTGCGTACATAGCGCAAAATTTTTTAGGAAAAAGCAGCTGCTGCTATATCAGAATTCTTAAAAACAAGAAGTCTGCTACTTCTTGGCAAGTAGCAGACCCAGAGAGACTGTTACAGATGACAGACTATTTAGTGTGTAAGCTTGAGTGTTTGATGTTTTCAATACGATATTGCATCAGGCACAAAGAAGAGTTGCCTGTGTGTCTGTAGTACAGCTCATACAGAAAGACAGAACGTATTCCATAATCCAAATATCGGAACTGGCACTTCTAAGACTCTAGACTTTTAACACTAAAAATCCCCAAACATCTGTGACGAAGAGTATTAATTTATCTGATAAAAGGGACACAAAGAATATCACAATCTTCCAGAGGATACCTGAAGGAATACATGAAGAACAGAGCACCTGTGAAGAGCTGTGAAAAACTAACAATAGTTACTAAAATGAGACTTCTTCAAATTGAAGATCAACAAATGCTACACAGTATCAAGAAAAGCAGAATTTGGTTGTTATTAACTAGTAAGAGCTTTTAAGAAATGATCCTAGAGATATTTAATAGCAATAAAAAGAAAAGAATATTAGAATTTAGATATCTGACTAATTTAGAATGCTGACTAATTTTTGCAGACCTAGTAATTTCATTTGAAAATGAACCAACAAACCTAGCCTGATCCTTCATAAAGCATTTTTATTTTTTGAGTTAAAGTAAATTGATTTTGAAAACTGCATCCCAAAAAACTAGAAAAAAACTTAGATTTATCTTTTGGACACAAAGGCCCACTGAATTCAGCTCAACACTGTGTTCTTTATTGTGGACTACTCCTTTTCCTTACAAAGTGCAGAGAGCAACAGACCTGAACAAAGTCTGACAACACCATATCCCAAGTGGCACAAGGGATAAATTACCAACATCGTACAATAGCTGCAAATCTCCAGGTACAATGGCAAAACAACAAAGTAATCACATAGAAATTTCTTCTTTTAAATCCCACCAGTAATTAACCAGTAATACTGTTCATATGAGAGAAAAAAGAAACTCATGCTATTGGACTGCAGTTCTGGAGCAGGGATTTGAAATCAATCTCATCAGACCCCTAGGACAATCTCTACAAAGCAGATGGACTCTAAAGGGCTGATAGCGCAGCTTCCTTTTTCTTAACTATGTTCTTTAGCCATCTTCTGAGGTTAAAAAAAAACAAAGACATTTTAAGAGGAGCAGAGAGGCATGACATCATCTGCTCCTCATTTTAGCAGAAAGGCAACTGAATCCTGTGCGTGTTCACTGCAGGAACCTTTTGTGGCCAGAGCTGCCTCTTCTGATTTATCTATGTATCTGTAAATCACCTGTGGAGAGCAAAGAACCGATTAGTATGGATTACTGGAACTATTCATTGCAGAAATGCCAAGCTACCTAATGATGACTTATATTATAAGTCCTGCTGTTGGAATAAATCTGCTTCTCACCAATTAATGTTGTACGATTCCTATTAAATACATACTATAATTCACAAAATGTATTAATAAGCTTGCTCAAATATCGGACCACAGATGTGGCTCATGGGAGGGCTTCTAAGGTCTGATCTCTGACAAATGCTGAGCCTGCACAGACCCATTAAAATCACTGGAAAATGTATGTGCCAAGCACTATTTAGAATGAGGCTCTTTTACCACTCGCTGTATTTACATAGAAATCAACAGTCTTCTGTATTGGACAGGATTCACACTGATAAATCAAGCAGGGTATCTTACCTTTCCTATCACTATGTATAAAATGCTTATTCCATGGATCCACACTGTATTCTGCAAGACATCTCTAAACTAATATTTCTTCTCCAAAACAAGTTTCATACACCACTTCTGTTCTTTCCCATATTTCTGGTAATGTGTACTAAAATTTCTCCTAATCATTCTCCAAAAAATCTACCAAGAGCCATTTCAATCTGAAACTTCCTATGATAGGCTTCAGCAATCCACTATCATACAAATCAACTGAACTGCTTTTTACAGTAGTGAAATACCTAGGGTTAAATTTTACATGCCTTACAATCTCGTAATTAGGAACAGTCCCATAAAATTGTAAAATGGCTCTTCATTCATGTTCTTCATGCTTTACTTCCCGAAGTCAGTTGTTCAAACAACTCTGAGGGCAACTTTTACATTATATCTCAATAGAATCTTTCTTAGGTCATCAAATATTATTAAAACAGATGATGCACAGTGATAGAAATAGTATCCAGACAGTAATGCTTTAGGCAAGAAAAAAAAAACAAAACCGTTTAAAAGCTGCTAGAACTAAGCTATTTTGACAAGGCAGCATCAGACCTGAGTTTGAAAAAAACTTCTAGATAAGCTCTATGTACAGTGGAGAACAGACCAGCTGCCCAATAGCTGTCAAAAGGCACAACTGTATACCCCAAATTTCTATATAAACACAAACATAAGTAAATACAGACAGTCGGAAGCAAGGAGAGAGAAATGCAATGTCCAGTCCTAATTAGTGCATTTGACAATTATGTGTGCCAGTGTAGACCTAAAAAAAGTCTTTAATTTTGATCTATTAAAAATAAACCTGTATGTTTGGAGTAAAGAAGGATGATGAGATGCAGTCATCAGTTTTGATGAATTGTGAAAGTAGTAATAAACTACTTTGTGGGAAGTAGTAATAAACTACTGTGTGGGAAGAGAAGGAGCTTTGTATGTTGTCCTAAAAGATGGAAAAATCCAGGAATTCTATAGGATTTCATAAGATTGCTGCATCAATGGATGCATGAAATTAATTACCCGCTACTAAGACTTATTTCAAATCCCTTTAAAACCTAGATCAAGTAAACCACATTAAGAGTAGTTGTTAAAAGCATTGGAAAGAGAGACTTTTTGGCAAATCACTGCTAGCAAAACTAAGAAGTCTTCTGAGATCTCTAGTTTTTTTTGACAAAGGAGGAGCAGCCCATACTAAGGAGCTGAAGGAAAAGAAAAAGAGATGGAGCCTGGAACTTTCCAGTAAATAAATAAAAATTGAAAAGACTGCTGAGCAGAAATTCTACTCAAGGGCTTTTATACTTGGACTATGAATAAAGAATTTGCATGTGTAAGATATTTTGCATGGTCTCCAGACTCCTGTTTCTTTATTTTCATGTAACTGCCACAAGATTAAATTGTAAGCTGGAGTATTAAGAGGAACAGATCTATAGAACAATGCTAGTCTAACATTAGGGTGAATTAAGGCTCCTACACTAAAATGCCAGTGCTCCGCCTCCATGAATGAGCATCAGGCACAGGGCAGCCACCCAAGGAAGCTCTGATCACACATTTCACCTGCAGTTTAACTCAGTCGAGGTAAGGTTATTTCCCAAGAATTGTTTCTCCATCTTTCCTCCCACCATATTTACATGCTTTTCCTCCCACATACACTGTTCTATCACTTTTTTTTGACATGCCCATTTGGGTTTTTGGTTGTTGTTTGGTTTGTGGGGCTAGTTACTATTTGGTTCAGCTCATAAATTGATATTCACAGAATCATTAAAGCAAATTAAATGGGAATGCACATGGTAGTGGTAAAAGGGAATGAATTTAGTCTTAAGCCAATTGTAAAATAATAACTTGAGATGTCAGAGAGTGCCTAGAATCCATTCAATCTCAAAGGATCTCAGAGGAGTTATATTTTGTTTCTAAACTGAACTTAAAATATTTTCATTTTGAGTTGATTCTAAATCAGAGTTTTTCCACTTTACCAAATAAAAGGGAAGGAAGTATTCTTGAATGAATGAAGCATTTTGAAGTACTTATAAATGTTGGAACTTTGTAAATACAAACACTTAATAAAATGCAGAAGTCTCACACCGAAACAGGAAAAATAAGTCAAGAATTCTCCTCTTTGTCTTCTCTTACCAAGTGTTCGTCAAATTGAAGATTTACTCATTTTCTAGGAGCAGCATTTGTCTAAAATAAACTATTTGGTCAAGTAAGATCATCTAGCATAGCCAGAAAGCATGTGGACTATGCAGCAGACTGCTGAAGAATACAAAAGTGAGGTCAGGAAGTCAGAAACTGGCAAAGAAAACAGGAAACAAGGGTCCACAACACTTAAGACTTCAAAACCAACTCAAGTGGTTTCATCTTAAGACTACATCCGTCTGTGGAGACTCCGGAGAAACTGGCTCTCTGACTAAAATACTAAATTAGCAAACAGACAGTCACACTCTGTGGTAATATCATTGTCCAGATGGTCCTACATGTATATAGCTTCTGAAAATACCTACAGAGCAGCAAAGCAAGTCATATTCTGCACATCATTATATAATCATATTCACTTTCATATGACATGTCATCGATCACAAGGCAACTACTTTCAAAAGGAATAAATCCAAGGGATGTTTACAATGTCACCACTGCACTGTTTTTCAATATAGCCTTGCGAAGAAGTCAGTTAAGACTGCAATCAAAATGAAGACTAAGAGGGAAGGGAAAATGGTAAGCAAAAAAGACCCAAGGATCTACATGGAAAACATGTCAACTTATTTATTTAAAAAATACACTCTTTTCTCTTCCTCAACAGCAGGAATTAGTATCTTTCTACAACACCTTGCATGGTTTCAAGAGTGATAGGGAAGTTGAGGGAAGAATAGGAGGAATAATGGGCAAGAGGGCTTTAGCCATATAAGAGTAAGCAGCAGAAACTTGATTCAGTAAAACATATTCTCAAAGCATAAAGACAAACCAGTGCCATAATATGCAGAAGATTTTTTTTTTGTTCCTAAGACCAACAAAAAAAGACTATCTCATCTATAATTATGTATGGTTAGCCAAGTCAAAGATGACCTAAAAAGTGTCTCGCTACATATTATTATTACTTGATCCACTGTTTCAGAAATCTCTCACATCAGAGACCAGTGTAACCAGTAGGTTGTCTAAAAGCTTTCCATACACAGTGATGAGACTAGAAGCTCTGGAGTGTACTACAGCATAGCTGCATGCCATGAGAAGAAAGCCAAGGGGGTGGCAATTTTCTTTCCACTTCTCTAAGAAATAAAAACTCCTCTTGCTGCTTTTTTAAATTCAGTCAATGCTTGTTTTGATTAGGGTAAAGGAAAACATCCTCTGCAATATGAATCTTTTCCTGAAGATATGTTTGTCTGCTGATAATAGAGTTCAGATATTTACCTGAAGATAAAGAGGCAGGCTTTCCTGAATGGCAGACAGCAAAGCCACAGGCAGTTCTTTGTCCTGCTGAAGCACAGAGTGCGGCAGCAATAAGCAATCCACAATGCGAAACAAGAGTTGCTGTGCCTTGGAAGTAGCCAGTATTGGTGCCCAGAACTTTACCAGACATCCTGTTTGGCAAAAAAAAGAAAAAAAAAGAAATCCCAAAGCAATTTATAATTAAGAAAGAAAACTAAGAAAGCCTAAAGAGACAATTATGCTAAATTAGATAATCTGAGAATAGCAACAGCAACTGACATGTCTTGCTCCCATGTACTCATTCCATGGCATCCCTTAAATAAAATTAAAACAAATCCAAAAGTCCATTTAGAGTTTATCCAAAAAAAGTGCTAAATTGACTCAATACATTACAATTAGAAGGTTTTAAGCCAGTGAAGCTGCTTTAGGAAAAGTACAGCAATGCTAAAGAAAGGACAGTCTCTTACATCCATGCAGAAAACTTAACTAAACTTGATCCGTAACACCATTGCAATCAGCACACACACACTTAAACATTTACCTTGCTGTGTGCATTCATCACATTTTACAGAGATATGCTGCCTTTGCCTTCCCTTCACATTTATCTAACACCACTGTGGCCACATCAGCAACTACTCACATGGGAACTGAATGTTAGGAAAACATTAAATATCCTTCCAATTGTATTTAATTTCAGCAGATTAAAAAGAATAAGGGGCAGCCAACTACATTAAACCAGCACGGTCTCATCAGATCTTTGTGGGCTCTCAGTTCACTAACTGAGAGCCTCAGAGAACATATTTCTTGTTTTCAACACATTAACGTATCACTTGCACAGCTCTGAGCCAGTTTTAAGATCTTTAAAAAAAAAAAAAGTAAAAAGGTGTTGATGTGTAAAACCCTAACTTTCAGAAACTTCTTTATTGCAGGTGAGGTGTAATTTTTCTTGAGAAAATAACTATACTCCAGAGTGTTGATACTCAAAACACACACTAAATAAAACAAAATTTCTACGTAGTGGTTCCCACAGACATTCTTAACTTTACATTTAATTAGAGGCAAGGAGAGGTTTCCTGGGTTGAAAATACAGGAATATTCCCAGCAAACATGTTTAAGACTTTGAAAATAATGAAAAATCAAAATTAGGCTGTTACAAGATATTATTAATCTATAAAAGTCATTCATTACCATCTCTAAAAACAACGCAAAACAACATTAATCTTCTGGAGTGAAAGAAAACACAATGATCAATCATAGAGAAAGAGAACGATCACCTAACAATACTTCTAATAATGTTGTCTAAGCTTCCTGCTTTGAAAGAAACATGGTCATTCCAACTAAAGCACTCTTTCTATTATCGCTCCTGTGATGTATGGGACAGTACAAGACACAATCTGACCACAGATGGGAGGTGTTTAGATTTGTTAAGTTTCTTGCTTTGTCCTTATAATTTAACAAGCCCACAGAATGTGAAGCAGTGATTGAAATTCACTTAAATATTTTTTCTTTTAAACCTTTTCTATGTTTTCTTAACTAAAAAGAAAAGGACAATTTCTTGCACACAACAGCATGACTGAAGATTAATCGCTTCCTACTGCAAAGAACAGAAAAGACAATACCAATCTAAAAAGGAAAATACCAATCTAAAATTACTTTCCAAGGCTCCAACCCACATCTGGATATCTGAAAACATTTAATTTGATATACGTCTTGTGCATCAAAATATGCCGATCTCGCAATAGAAAAATAAAGTATTTTACAAAACCCTAATTCCACTACATTTGATGCACCTTTTGATCTTGGTCATGCTTTCGCTGTGCTTCTTATAATCATGATTTAAACTGCATGTGCACGCAAATTATTACCTCTGTCTTTGAGATACACAGGGTTTACTCTATTTTTAAAGGTAAGTGGGTCAGACTGGCACAATTCACTGATAATACACAGTACTCTTCTTTTTCCATCCTATCAGTGGTTTCACACTGTCGTGGTTTGAAATCTCCAAAAATCCAATTTCTGAGTCCAAGCCTCCCTCCCACAACTCATCCCAGTGTGAGAGGGGTTTTCCAGGGGAAGGGAATTATATTACAATTATTACACAAATAAATACTCTAATACATTATATACACAATCCTAACTATCTCTCCTATGATAAAGCACTATTTACATTGGATCAAATTTCTTCTCTCTCCAATAAAAGTCCAGAAGGGAAGAAGGAAAGATCCTTTCCATATTTAGGGCAGCAGTCTCTCCTCCTCAATGCAGCAGTTGTAGCCAGATTGTTGTAGCTGGATGTCTCTCCATTACACACAAGGAGGTCTCCTCTCACCCCTCTCAGCCCTTTGGCTCCAAGTGAAGGTCTCTCTCCTGTGGACTGCGAAGCAGTGACAATGCTTGCTTCACCACGTCATATCACGAAGTGTAGGACATCTTTGTGAAAGTCCCTTCCTCAGGGGATTTATCCCCTGAGTCAGAACGTTTAGGGCAGCTTTCAGTTCAGTCCTTGCCCTAAGTGTTCTATCAGAGCTCCTTTGCTCTGTCTCAAAACTGCCAGCCTGGCAGCAGTGGGGGGGAACAAGGCCACTTCCCCCGCATTCTGTCCGGCCATCCCAGTCCAGCTTCCAGGACGTCTTGAGCTTCTCAGTTCCTCTCTCTGGTGCTGCTGCATTCCAAGACTCCCCTCAAGTAGGAGTCCACCCCCTCCTCCTAGGAGGGGTCTCAAAGGGGTTTCGGGGGGATCTGGTTCAGTTCTTACCCCAAAACTGTCTTTGTTGAGCTTAGTCCTCTCTCTCTCTCCATCAGACATCTCTGTGTCTCTCTGCTCAGCTGCATGCTGTCTTTGCTGCTTGTTTCTTATCTTCTTGGCTTTTCGCCACAGTTCTCCGTTCAGTGCTGTCTCTGCTGCTGCTCCTGCTGCCCACTCACAGAGGAGAAAGACTCCCCCAGCTATTCAGTCACAGAACTTGGTCCAGTTTAACATTGTTTCCAAGCTTCTGCAAGTTCAGCCGGGGGCTGAGGGGCTTTGGCCCCCCAGCGGGGCTCCGGGCCCCTCTCTCTCTCTCTCCTTGTGGTCTCAGAACATGGCCACTACTTCTCCAACTACATCATCATCCTTCTTTTCCAGTCTGGTGTGATATGTTTAAATTTTGCAGGGGCGCTGATTGGGTCAACATCAAGTGACACCACCCCCTCGGGGGTTACCATTTTTTAACTCCAGGGGGAAAACCACTTTTTTCCCCACCACACACTTAATGAACAAATGTTAGAATTGAGTTTTAGTAATGTACAGAGTGTATGTAAGAGAAGCAGTTCCAAAGAAAGCAAATTACATTCCTAAGCCAAGTTGGCCACTAACACAAATTCAGTAAATACGATGCAGCCTATCATAACACTGCTGATCATAGAATCACAGAGTATCCTGAGTTGCAAGGGACCCAAAAGGATCATCAAAGTCCAGTTCCTGGCCCTGCACAGGACCACCCCAAGAATCACATCATGTGCCTAAGAGCATTGTCCAAATGCTCCCTGAACTCTGGCAGGCGTGGTGCAATGACCACTTCCTTGGGAAGACTGTTCCAGTGTCCAACCACCCTCTGGGTGAAAGATCTTTTCCTAATATCTAACCTAAACTCCCTGAAAAAACAGTTTTAAGCTCTACCTTACCCCTCCACATTGGCCCTAACCAAATCTACCTACAGTTTGCTGAATTCTATGACTCTTTGGCTGCACTTCCATTTCTACCTTTACGCTACACAGCAACTGAAAAATTCATTTAAATAAGTGGTCCTCTGGAGAGTGATTTCACTGGTGAGCCAGGCTATTCCCAGTAGCTTGGATACCAACACCAAGTGCATGTTGCCTCAATCCACATGGTTCAAAACTTGGAATTCTTTAAGAAGATTGTACATCTACTTTTATGCTCTGTAGGAAAAATTCAGAACTGATGACTTTCATTTAAAATATGAGTGGGAAGAGGAAGGAGACAACAAAAGACTACATATGAAAAGGTCTCACGACCCCCTATGGGAAGAGCAAATCCACTGTGGGCATGAATTTCTGTAACTTCAGGAACTGCTATGACTTGTAAAAATTTTCACTACAGTTAAATAGTCAAAAACCGACTCCTGTCAGTGAGTTTGTTTAGGTTAAACATTTAGTTTTCAGTAGTGAAAGACATGAAAATATCTTACTCTTGAAAATACTGATTTGTAGGTGTAATAAAGAACCCCACAAACAAAAACCACAAGGATCAGGATCAAAGCAAATCTGCAGAAGATAATTAAATATCTAATTGTAACATCTTGGTGAGTTTCATTTTTAAACCATTAAATGCTATAGAGGAAATATATATATGGATAGTATAGACGAAAAAAAAAGTATTAATAATTTATTTTATTGATGCCTTAAAACTATTTCCTAAAAAAAAAAAAAGAGGTTGCAAAATAATTACCTATGATCCAATATGTAAGCTGCAGACCTTCTGGAGGTCCTTTTGCCTTCAGGTAAGGTTTTACGTACTTTAATACATCACCTAAATACTCTAGAGTCTTTGCTACCATGGCAGATTTCTCAGGGAGTGTCTGAAGGCCACTGTAAGTTCTACCAACAGCCTGAGAAAACAAAAACATTGAAAGAAATATAAATAAACTTACTAAGTCTCTCATGAGATTTTTGTGAGTAATTTCTTTTTCAACCCCCAGTCTGATATATAGTTCCTTTTCACTAAAACTGTCCTATGAAACTGACACAGGGATAGGTGTACAGTACCTTAATGAACTGGACAAGAGCATATTTTGGGTCTTGCTTGAAAACTGATTCTTCAACATGAGCCTTTGAAAGAATGTTTTCTACTTCTGAGAGTTTAAAAATCAGTCTTGTCATTTCAGTCAGCTGCTCCAAATAGGCTTTCCCTGATTATTACAAGAGAGCACAGCAGTAAATATAGTATACAGTTATGCTTTTAGATTTACTTTAGTCCCAAAATGATAAAGTAAAACATTATTTTAAAATGGCCAAAACACAAGGATTCTGCAACTAACTGTATCTCTCCAGACAAAGACCACATATCCAAACTAGTTATTTTTCTAATACAGTTATAAGAGAATAAAGAGTATTAAGTATGGATAACCAAGTCTTTCATGGTACTGGTGTTGGTTTTTTTTCAAAATCTACAAAATGTGTATGAGAGATAGTCACTAGAAGATGTGTTCTAAAGATAATTAGAACTGCAGTGTTTTTAGAAGAAGTGATGAAGTATTTCTCTAAGAAAGCAAAATATCCAACACAAAAAAGGGCAGAATTAATTACCACTAGATTTTTTTTTCCCTTTTCTTTTTGGCTATTCACAGCATGATTTCTAACTATTTACTTCAGATTCACTTTTTTTAGAGCAGTTTCTCCATGGGGGAAAAATAGCTTGTCTCCTTGGGAGCAAGTTTTTATTCTTTGCTTCCAAGGAAACAAGCTCTTTTATCTTTGTTTGTGATAAATTTGTCATATGCAGAGCAGGCAAACTATCAAAAAATAGCACAAGCAGTGTAAAGAAACACATTTTGTAATTAGGTAAAAGTAAAGGAATACAAACAAAAATACATTTTGTAATTAGCTGAAAATGCTTGCCAGCTTTGCAATATAGAATCGTTACTGCAAACATTAGGGAAATGTGAACACTTACCAACTGTTCGCTCAGCATCTGTCTTGGCCAGAACACCACTTGGTTGATCTATGAACATTTGCAAAATGCATCGAAACCAAGAACGTACTGTCAGAGCTTCATAGGATGTATATCCCATACTAGAAAAAGCTTCACACAGTGAACTGCATAGGTAGAAGAGGAAGAAAAAGGTAGGGTGATCTAATAAAAGTAGGCAAAAAGGGCAGCAGAGTGTCTCATTTGGCTGTAGACATACAGAAACAGTGCACAGAAACAATTAAAGCAACAGAAAGGTCAATTGGCATTGCTTTTGCATACTCTACAGACTTTGCTCACAATATCCTGATGCCTAAACAGAGAGAACATGATAAATTTGATAATGCCACCCATGGTAATTTAAAGGCATATATACACATGTACATATGTTTTGGTTACATAAAACAGGGTGGAGGGAAATTCACACAGTGGGAAATGTTTAACAATGTGTAATTTGGCAGTATTATCTAAACTGACAGTGTACAATGCTGGAGATAGTATATCTGAAGCAGCCTGAACTCCGTATTGACACTGCTTAAGCTACTCCAGCCTTTCATATAAAGCTAGCCCAGGTGCCCCATACTACTCTGAAATCTGCTTCGTTCTAACTACAGTAAAGATGGAGAAGGTCTGCTTTAGCAAATAAAGATACGTTATGTTCAAAACACATGAAAAGGGAAATATAAAAAGGCACCTTGGAGATGAGGAAAGAAACCACTATACTTGGCAGTACATTACAGACGTATGCATTTATGCATGTATACACACACAAGTATAAAGACCACACAAACTTGCTATATATACTTTCAATCAAACACTCACTATCATTCTACCATTGAAGTGTCAGACCAAAGTCACTCAGTACTCTACTGTTCCGTAATTATAAACTTTTACTTGCCTTACTACAATAAGTAGCTGCTACAGTCACTCTTTCCCAAGCATATCAGCCTCACATCATTAATTCTTTAGAAACTCCTTGCTAAAAGACAGCAGGTCTATTCTGCATTCTGTTTCCAGTTCCTATCAGATGAGCTCCACGTGTGCTTCAGGTCAGTGAAATTTTTTGAAAATAGTTACACCTTTTATTTGAGAGATTTCCTCCATGGTTAGTCGTAGGTACTTCAACTTTAATGAAAAATGTTTGTACTCTTTTCTTGATATATGTACATGTAATTCTACTTATTTTTTACTGATTTTTACTCATGCTTGCAACAGAAAGTCAAGACTTCCAGATGGAAACCAAACTGGATTCTGCTTCTCACTAAACAAAATTAATAAAGTTGGGGTTTTTTTCTGCTTCATTTACTTCAAACCAGTGACAACTCTATATTTTGTCTCAAGATCTCTGATGAAGTACTACTGACAAAGTAAGTAAAGAAACCAAATGCAAGGAAATAAAATGAAAAAAATGAACATTGTATTCCAGTACCAAAAAAGAAAAAACAGGATGCCTATGGACTTAATGCTCTTTGCAGTAATGTGTAAACAATTTCATTCTCATGTAATCTTCATGTACACAGCTAGTCTACTTGGCCACAAAGGCTCAAAAAACCACTTTCTGTTGTAGTCTCACTCTTATTTCTCTTGCTTGCTGGTAGGTGGGCGACTTTGACATCTTCCTAAAACTGGAGAAGAATATGCTCCTAATCCTTAGAAAGGAAAGAACAATAACTACCTGCTAGAAGCATGGCAAGTGGTCCTTTTAAAACAGTGAGCTTATTCACATACTCAAAATTAGTTTAAACAGGTTATAATACTATCATGCACCACACAATGTGGTTGTGGTAACAAACTTTTAGGCACTACTGCGAAAGAAATGCCAAAGGTTGTGTGTATGTTCCCAGAGCTTGCAGAGTATGTATTGGAAACAAAAGAATCTTTTTACTTTTTAACTGACAATGTTTGATGTGAAAATTATCAGAGTGCAGAAACCATGAAGTCTAAAGATCCCATCACTTAGATACTTTGATAACTTTGGCTCTACAAGTGCCTAAGGTAAATAAGTACATGAATCATGCTACAAAAAACTGCTTTCAAGATGATAGTGTTTAGAGCATGATACCTCTATATTCTACCAAAAATATCTTACCTTAGGTACTCATTGCTCTTTCACCAGGAATCTGAGCACCCTACAGTTCTGTTAGTAAGGTGGGGACATACCTTTGCCTATTCTCAGATACTTAAGTTTTTAACTTGTTGGCTTCAGGAAATTGTTAAGGGTAACAATTTTCCTTGAGCCTGGGCAATGGAAAACCCAACAGTTCAGGGGTAAAATTATCTGCCTCTGCATGAGTGCATTCTGTCCCATGCTTCCAGATTCATGAAGGAGATTCAGGAAAGCAGAGAGTGAGAGAGTGAGAACACATAAGAGAGAACCAGAAAGAGTGAGAGCATACACACAAATAAGCAAAAGGTGTCCATTATCACCTAATTATGGAGCCATGCTTTCTCCTGCTAATTCTCTCAGTATGGATCCATGAACCTGACATTGTCAGTTAGTCCACAGCACAATCTGCCAGAGGAGGTGAAGTCCCTCTCATTCCCTTCTAAGGCAGTATTTGGAAACAAAGGTCTGAATTCCATCAGAGTGCAAGACCCACCTGACATGGGTTTTCCAAATTGCTGCACAAGTGCTCTAACCTCTCAGATAATGTATGTCAGATAACTGCATTTTTAGAAGAAATTTTGGCAGCAGGGCTGTATGAGAAACTTGATATGTGTGTGTGCTCTGCACTTGCTAATGCAATCGTGCTTCCAAACACCTGGAACATGGAATCTTTTGGCCATGCTTCCATATACCATAAACATTACCTCAGCTAGCATAAAAATGTATCTGTGGATACATTTTTAACAATATGTCAGGTGCTTAATGAATACTGCTAAGGAATACTTAAGCAATTGCTTTCAATCACTTACTTGAATGTTTACTGGGGGAACTGGAAATTAATCTTAAGAACTTAAATAATACCAAAATTTCAGTTTAGGCATCAAAATGTTTTTCTTGATCTTGCCTGAAGAACAAGAAGATTCAAACTATAAAATTCAAATTATAAAAGGGAATTTATGTGCCTAACTCTTATTGCATTCAGCATGTGCTAGGTATCTGTAACCTTGAATGAAACTCACCCTATAAAGATCATAAAAGAGAAACATGGCAAATCAGAGGACTGAACACTCCCAAGTTCCACATTGAGACACAAGGAACTAAATGCAACTTTTTTTAACACCTCCCTGCAAGAAGGCCATAGCCTCATGTTTGTCAATCACACTTAAATAATCTTTACCATATCCTGACTTACAGTTATGCTCCTTAGTACACTATGTACCCTAAAAATGTGCAACATTTTTCACTTTCAAATACAGTCCGACACAGAAATATTCCCTCTTTCTCTCTCATTTCTCACCTCCCCTGCTTCCAAAACCTGATTCAGAAACGGGCAAGGCAGGGAAAAAGGCATGCCACAAAAACCACCATCACCCATCTATCTTAGGTCCACAGAGGCTTACTTAGAGAAAATAAAATTTCTCATATATATAAAAATCTGACTGGATTGTCCTGGTGCTTGAAAAGCTGCAAAGAACCTGGATCACCTTACTGAAACATTACCATTTGAAGCAACCATTTTCCACACATCTAATGAAGGATGAGAAGGTACTGGAAGAACAAGCAATCACAATTTTTCACCTGTTTTGAATTAGATGACTTAGATATCTTGACACCAGCTGAGGCCACACCATGTCATCCCATCCAAACAGCTGCATCATTGATAAAACAGGCTGTGGCTGGAGATCTGATAGGGCTTTGCTGGGTATATCCAAAGCTAAGAGAGTAAAACCTGTTTTCAAAGAGAGAAAAAACATCTTAATAGTTTCTTGGTACATTCCTGTTCCACTAAAAAGCATTGAAAATTAATTACAATTAATAATGTGCAGCCAGGGCAACTGTTCTAACAGAGAGTGCACCCACACTAAAAATGTAGTCTGTATCCCAAGCAGTTTCTAAGTCATCAAGACACACCGGCTGCAAAAGAGGGAAAATGGATCCAAACATATGCAATTTTAAATAGATTCACAAACCCACATATTATAAATCCTGAAGGCACAACTCTACCACCTATGCAGTAAAAACTGTGTCTTAAAACCTGCTTTTTTGTCTTGACCGTCCTTTTTTACCTTCATCCACTACATCTTCTCTTGTACACATATTACTGTGCTTTACAGGGTTGAGTTTTATCTATTTCTTTCAGTTTTTTTACACGTTTCTCAGAGTGAAGAACTGTATCTGTAAAGAATTCACTCAGTAAAAGCTGGTACCTTTGTATTTTTGGAATAGACATTCATGTATCAAATTTACCATACAAATAAAGCACTGTAGACAAATTTACTCTTGAAAAGGATCTTCACGTAACAGTTGCAGATCTAGAAACTGGGGCAGTATTTTGTGCAGAATTTTGTTAATGAAGTATAACCTTTTGCTGTTTCTGTTATGTCTACTGAACAATCTATATCTAACACTACTAGAATAAAAAATACAGTGCATTCTTTATATTGCAAATGACACATATATTAAAACTCAGAAAGAAAATGCAATCTGAAATGCTGAATGATTATTAGGCTATAGGAAATTAGAGGCATCAAACAAGTCAGAAAAACTGAATTTAGAGGGCGATGAAAAAGGGGCTCACTAGTTCCCAAAGTCTCCAATTCAAGTTAATTATAAATTAATATTAAAATAATTATAAACCTGCATACATTGAAAAGATGAATTAGATGGAAAAGGCTGATTTTCAGAAACAACAATGAAATTATTTTAATTAATGGTATAGGGGCAGACTACCTTAAGCCATGAAGGAGTTCACATTTCCTTATGTGCCTTGGAAAAAACAAAGTCATACAGAGTCCCCACTCTGCCTTAGGTAAGGAAACATTTTGTGGCAGCCTTTTTCCAGAGATTTCTGCAGCATCAGCCATAACACAGTTTTGGGAGAAATGGGAGAAATGTGAGTCCCAGGCTATTTGCCTGGCAGGGGGAGCAGGAGAGCTGTGACAGCTGCTCTGTCCTCTGGGCTGCAACCTCTAAGGCAAGAAGCTCATACAGTGTGGGAAAGGTTTGCCTTCCTCTGTAGTGCTACCTAACACATCTCTATAAAGCAGGTCACAACTGCACTCCTCTGCTTCTCAGAGGAGTTTATAATAGGTTGCTGCTCTTGCTATTTCACTGTGCTAATATAAAATAAAAAAAAAAGATATGACACTGTATGTGTGTAGGAAATGAATGAAGTTTTGACATTAACGACCTCTTCCTTTGATTTGTATTGCTGTTTCTCACATACTCTTCAGCGGTGTGAGACCACTACTGTTGCACACTGCCTCTTTCATTAATGTTACCTCTTAACTACCACAGAGCTGCTTCAAATGAAGCATCTTTTAGCTTTTCTATTACCAACTCAGTACCCCTGAGCTTGTAACTTTATCTAATTCATATCACGATGGGAAAAATATTTTATATTGCACTCCTCTGAATTTTAGTTAAATGGATACAAGATTTCATTTTAACTGCAGAATACAATGCTAGCTTCTGATGTTAAAGATCAAACTGGGATATCTTTCTATTCACTGCCAAGCTGACTTGTTGCATGTGGAGTTCACACACATATTGAATGTTGTACTTCAAGATTAAACACCTCCAGTGTAAAGCATGATAAATAATTAATATTAATTATGAAATGTTTTTATGACCATAACCATAACAGTTTGGCAAAAAACAACAGTCATATATGCAATCTTTTAAAAATTGTCTTCAAATGAAAAATATTATTTTAAAATATTTAGTTTGTATTTCAACCATAATGAATAGTTCAACACAAAATTATAATAAACTTCTACAAAAGTATGTAAATTCTGGATATAGTGAAAAACATAATTCTTATTTATATTGTATAACATTTGCAATGTTGATAATAACCTGTGACTAGCATTGAAAAAGAAGTCAGGCTTGTACATCTTCAAACCCCTTTGGTGTTCTCAATCTGTTTTTATCCTATTAAGGAATTCAACACTATAATATTTCTTTGTGTCAAAATATTTAGCATAGAATCTACTTTTTGCATTTATGAATAGTTAAGTATCTGAAAATACAAAATCCTTGAAAGTTTGTGACCCCGAAAATAGCACCAAGTCCAGTAAGTCGCAGGGGGGGGTCAGGGCTAACCTGCAGCTGTATCAGCAAGCTGAGGGGAAGGCGGCATCTGTGACATTCTCTGGCTCTTCAAGTACGGAAAGAAATTTCTCCAGAGAGCACTGGCGACAGCAAGGTGGTGCTCTTTAGCCACTAATGGGAGCTGTGCGTCTGGGGCTGTGTTCCCTAGTTGAAGTCCCTGGCTTACACGTTCGTGCACACTCCTAGGGAGAAACAAAAACAATGTTTACGTTCAATAAATGAAAAATTCACATCTTTTTAAAACGCATTTACAACTACTTTAAACTGTAGAGCCTGGGAACTGAAGGATCATTTTGTGCAATTAAAACCTTTATGCAAAGACATTATGCATACCAGTTATTTGATAGATGAATGATGGCATATTAAGCACCATAAAGTTAATGTTAATTACTAATGTCAACCATTAATTATATGCTTTTTAATATGTCAGATCAAAATGAGAAATTGGCAGCTTTAAAATGAATATCTGCATTTTGCAACTAGCACGACAAGCAAGTCTGCTTCCAATCCAAAGCCAGGTGCTTCTTTAAAATTTTTTTCACTAGAATTTTTAGGATAGGGTTGTGTACAGCAAATAATGGCAAATGATTTTGATCAATTGTAAAGCTTCCTTCCGAGATCTACTTCTCATTTGTAAAACTTCAATAGGTAAGAGTTTAGATAAAAGATTCATTTTATCCTGATGTGCTGCAGACAATTAGGTTTGACAGCAATGCCCACAGCTTTGTTAGTACAGTAAAGACAAAAGTTACCACTACACATAACTCCCATCTCTTCCGCAGACAATGTGGCATGAATTCAATAAGGCACTCAATTTTCTTTGATTCTTCTAGTACCATTCCTGCTACTTAATCTAATTTGGAAGTTGTGACTTTCTAGAGGTTTAATAGAGATATGTCTGCAGGGAATCAATGTTCTCAGAGAAATGGGAGGGGGACACATTAATAAATTTGTCTAGTAGAGGAGGACAGGAGGTATTACAGTACCGGGCTGATCAACTAAATAACATGCTTATTAAAAACAATCTGTAGGAACGCACTATCATTCCTGTTCCTATTTATCTTCTGGTCAACTCAATTGAGATTGTGCATTAAAGCACAGGCAGCATTATTACATTTGCTTTATTAAATTCTATAAACAGCACTGTAAAGTCAGAGTCAAGATATTTATAAGATAACAGTAAACAGCAGAGGCATTGAGACTTGCCTAAACACTAACATTTGTAGACTATAATATTTTTTCTTAACTGCCATTCCCACAATAGCAACTGTTTCACAAAAATCTTCCCCTAGATCTTTATTCTATGCTTACCCTAATTTGAAATAAACCAAAACAAAAATAGAAAAAACTCCAGCTCCTAGTTCCCTTCTGGGAACATGCGAAAATTATGAAAGAATTACACAACTCACAGCACTCATTAGGACATCTGAAATGGAATAATTTTAAATAAAGAGTAGGCTGGCTGCAAGGCCTTCCCATACTTGGGTTGATATTAGAAGCGCATCTCATTATATCAAATTAGTATCCAAAAATTCTGCAAAACACATAATTTAAAACATAAAACATACTGGTTGCCAAAGGTAACGATACCTTATGCCTGCCAGCAGGCATTCATTAGTTTCAACAGGACAGACAGAGAATTGAGTATGAGCTACTTTTTGAATGGCTACATTTAGCAGACAAGGAAAGGTATGCAATATTAGGAGGAAGCAAGTATTTCTTTGAGAGAAGGCATGAATCCAAACACAAGAACAAAAGCCAGGAATACTAAACCCAACATTTATTCCCACTGTGGCTTCACATAAATCATACAGCCTTTGTTAGCCTCAGTTTCCCAGCCATGATATTTGGACAGTAAGACAGCTTACCCTTTAAGGATGCTGTGAAAACACCCAATGTTTAGAAACTGAGGATTGTATTCAGTATGTCAGGTGGTATTCCTATTTACAAGGCATATTTTTCAAGTCAACATGAATTGAAACAGAAGTAAGATTAGCATAAAAAGCCAAGCAACACTTTTTTGGGAGCATCCCCTTATTAAAAAAAGGACAAAGAAAGGGGTGAAGATATAGTGAGGTCTAGAGGATAAATGATGAAAAAGTAAAAGCAAGGCTAAAGAAACAAGTTAAAAAAATTATTTTTGCCAATTACAAAAAAAAAGTTTAACAGTAAAACAAAGGGCTTTTCTGTTTTATTTTAAGAAAGGAATGCATGATGCCTCATAATGCAGAGAATAAAACTTCTGGGACCAAAATCTGCCCTACTGACATCCAGACTATGCTGTAAAATCGCACAAAGACCTTTTTCTCTCCTCTAAATTGCCTCTCCAAAGACGGGTGCCTTGCATCTCCTTTAGCCATCTATGCAAAGTAGAAGGGTGTACAGACTTCCAAAGTAAGGTAATATATCTCTATGTCAGTGGAAGGGCAACACGTACAGATCAGTATTTATGTTTATTCATAGTAACCTGCACAAATGCTTGCAATAAGGTAAATGCTTAGAATCGATGAGGCATCAATATATGCTGTAGTTGATGTAGCCAGCTACTTCTACCAACAAGCACATTTTTTAACTCTATAAAAATACGAATAAATGCAATTTTACTTTTTATTCAGGCTTCTATATTTTTCTAACACTAGACAAGCATACCATCAAACATCACTCCATTTCTAAAACTTTATACATTCAGCTTTCCATTGCGTTAAGAGATCTGGAACCACCAGTTGCCCCATTACAATGGTAACTTGTAATATGTGATTTTTACCTGTTTTAAATCACAAATTTCCTACTTCTGTAAAAAGAGGTATGTTTTTCTTCGCATTTTGCCATCAGATCAAATAAACCCTGGGTTTATTAAAGAGGAGAATGTTTGTGCCACCTCAATGAGGACTGTGCTGGATGTATAGGTACAGTAGTAGCATATGGGATTATTTTCTACATCCTACACCTGGGTAAGGAATTGCAGCCATTTATTTCTCTAGATGTAGATATTGTAATCATAAAACATGACCTTGCAAGCCTGCATTACTAAAATGGAGCCAAACTTTAGGTCAAGCCAGAAGAGTAAAACACAAAATTCAGCAGCCTGCCTAGATGATGGAAACTCTCAAATCACTACTAGTCTATAATCTGCACTGCACACATATTGACATTCAGACTTAATGCAATGTCATTTAATTTGATCTACAAGGATTCAGAACTTCCCATCATGATAGAAGACCTCTTTCCTATCAGCATCTCCAAGGGCTACCACCATCAGGGACTCTCACAGGCTATGAATGTAGATACCAGTTTCCTCTCAGCTTCTCAGCTCCCAGTCCAAGCCAGGCCATCCACAGCATCTACAAAACTCAGCTGCCCAGTACAGCCAAGATTAAGCTCATAAAACTCTTTTTAAAGGACCTGAATGACCTCTTGATGTTGAAACAAAAATATTTAAAAAACACCACCTGAAGGACCAACATCCTTGGATAAAACTAGGGAATTGGGAAGAGATATATGAGTATTTCTAAAATGATAAATGGTTTTGATGCTTAGAATTTCAACTACAAACGCCAGTTACTTCAAGAAAAACTCAGGCGAAGTGAAATGAAGCAAAGCACCATCACACTCAGATTCAAAGAGAGGTAACAGGTGCTTCGTGCCCTATGCAGATAAATGGAACTGGAACAATACTTAAATTTGGAGATTTCTCTTCCCAACATTCTCCCTCTTTTTACATCACTGATATTATCAACACAGTTCATAAAATCATAGAATGGTTTAGATTGGAAGGGACATTAAAGATCACATAGTTCCAACACCCCTGCCATGGGGCAGGGACACCTTCCACTATCCCAGGTTGCTCAAAGCCCCGTCCAACCTGGCCTTGAACACTTCCAGAGATGGGGCATCCACACTTCTCTGGGCAACCTGGTGCAGTGCTTTATCACCCTCACAGTAAAGAATTTCTTCCTTGTATCTAACCTAAATTGCCTTTCAGTTAATACCATTACTCCTTGTCCTATCACAAGGGGTCCCTCTCCGCCTTCCCTGTAGGCCCCCTTCAGATACTGGAAGGCTGCTATGAGGTCTCCATGCTAACTTCTCTTTGCCAGGCTGAACAGCCCCAACTTTCTCAGCCTGTCTTTGTAGGGGAAGGTATTCCAGTCCTCTTATCAACTTCACGGCCCTCCTCTAGACTTACTTCAACAGGTCATACCTTTCCTGTGCTCAGGTCCCCAGCATCCTCTGGGTGGGCAGAATCACCTCCCTCGACCTGCTGGCCATGCTTCTTTTTGATGCACCCCAGGATATGGCTGGCTTTCTGGGCAGTTTCTGATTCTGATATTTTGGCAACAAATGCACTGTGCATTGGTTCTATTTTAATGTAACCACAGATGTAGTAACAGGAATAGAAGTGACTGAGGAAAGTGGAGGCTTCTTCAGCTCTGGGGTAGCTATGAAGATTTCAGCATATAGAACCAAAAAGATATGGAGATTAGCTGATGCAGAGAACAATAAAGTGAGAATTTTGATGTCATAAGACAGAAGAACAAATCCTGGACATGGGTGATGTCAGCTACTTGGAAATGTGTACAACAAAGTTATCAGCTGAAAATCCTCTAAAAATAAAAAGTCTCATTAATACAATGAAAAGTATGTGTGTTTCTGCTGAAAAGATTAGCAACAAGCTACACAATAAACATGGCATTAAAATAATATCCAAAATAGAAGTGCCAGCGTTGATACTTCAGACAGAAAGGTGTTTTTCCTTCCCTCCCCCCTTCTTAATTGCCAATAAAAGAAATTATATAGCACTATTGTATGACAGAAGATTGGGCTTTCCTGTAGAAATCTATCTAGTCATGTTTTCTGTGGTTGTACAAATCTTACTGCAATGAGATTTAAACTCAAAATTTGTGCTACTGCTACAGGTGCAAAACTCAGATCTCTGCTAGACAGCAGTACACTCAGCTTTCTGTGACCAAACATTTAATACACCATTTTAGAATTTAGTTTAAAATTACTCATCTAATTTCACTTCCTTCAAATGTCCTAAAACATCAATATCTTTTTAATACCTCTACTGATGTCTTCCTGTCATTCTACCAGAACTGTTTCTTATGGTGACCAGAATTGGAAGTGAGGTTTCAGCAGAAGCCACACACATTTCCAGTAACTAGTCCTATCCAAGATTAAG